AGTCCTTAGTTCCTAAACTCAGTCTATAGATCTTCAGTATATGAATAACAGATCAGTCCTTGAGATGATGAGTTCAGCCTCTGGTCCACAACCTATAATAAATAATAAGAAATGATTAATTATTATTAATACTGACATTATGCTGATTCTAACAAAAAAATTAATTTTGAGATATGCAGCAATGTTTAAAATAGTAAATTTCCTGAAAAAAGCAAAAGCTAAAGTAAAAGCACATGGTTTTTCCCAAAAATGGCTACAAGATCAGAACCAATTTTGTTACATTTTCTGATACATTACACATGTACTTATGTTATGTAAAAAGCTTGAGGGAAATTCTGACAAACATTAATTTTTTCGAGCTATTATACCATTTTTAAGAAAATTATTGCCTCCAATTTGTACCTCCAATTTTTACTACCTTTATTATCACTTAAAAAGTATGTTTTTTAGCCAAAATTGATGCTACTTTTTAAAATTTATCAAAAATCAAAATATTTAACAGAATCATCTCAAACTTACTATGCAATATAAGTGTATGTATATGCATGATATAACTAAAAAAAATGCAAAAAATTTTGCTTTTCAAATTTGGTGAAATTTGGCTTGTGACCCTTATACAATATAGTACAGCGACTTTTAACCACTTTAAAACCCAAAACCCTAAACCTAGAAAACCTAAAAATAAGAATCCTAAACCTAAGAACCTAGTAAATCATTAATATTCATGATGATGACATCATCAATTAACTTTTAATAATTAATTGAGGTAGGACCTAAACTGCAATGGAGCCAAATATAATTTTGATCGGAATCAGCTCAAACCTTCTACACAATATAAGTACATGTATATGCATCAGGAAAATTATAAATTGAAGATTTCTCTTATCTTTAATATGGAAAAATTTGACAAGTGACCCTGTACTAATACTATACTCATAAAATATTTATTCAATATTAAATGATAGTATGCACTGGTATTAAATATTATCAGTAACTGGTTTGAAAAATTTACTTTATTTCAAAACTAAGTTCGTCAAGTCATGGCTACAAATCCAGGTGTGTAAAATGGTTCCTAATGATTGTTGAATAGTAGATTCATTCCAATGGATCAGAGACTGATACTGAGTACTATTGTTAAGTCTTCAGAGGATGATATCACATGCAGTCTTCTAGAAGCACAAGGACGCCGAGCACACGTGTATACACGTGGGTACACCGCGCCCACTATAATGATTATTGTTAGACACGCCCTATTACTTTTAGAAAGAGACGCACTGCTCAAGCTGCTGCTGCTAACTGTTTTGTTGTCTCACTTTTCAGCATTATAACCCTGTACTAAACATGGCTACTCGTAGAACTCCAGTAAGTATATGTAGTATTAATAGAGGATATGATTAATGTATTGTGTTAGTGAAGATAATATAATGTGTACTGTTGATGAGTGTTTGATCTGGAGCGGGATCATACCCTCAGCCTATACAGTCTCTCCTTTATGTACAATATAATACCCACTATATATACACTAACTACAGTTTGCATACATGTATATACTGTACATGTGTAGCTTACCATTTTCATGGCAACATACTATCTACCAGACATGGGGTAATAGTAATAGATAATAGTAATAGTAATAGTAAAGATTACATGTTTTGAAGTAATTGTAATAGTAATAGTAATGGAGGAATCAAAAAACCAAGTAACAGTAATTGTAATAGTAGGAGACAGTTAAGTAATAGTAATATAATAGTAATTGTACATATTGTAATACATTATTGTACAAGCATTCAATGTACATGTACAGGTACATGTATGTGCATTCAAGTCTGTCTGCTCTGACAAAAGCTTCATCTGCTCCAGTGGAACGATTATTCAGTATGGGAGGGAATTTTTTAGACCAGGACAATGCAGACTTTCTCATACTGTTTTTGAGAAAGTAAAATATAATGGTCATTTGCTTTAAA